CACCGTCCCCTCCCCCTCCATTTCCCATGAGAAAGTCCCAGGACTTTTTGTGGAGGCATGTCTGGGTGAAGGCAGAGCTCCTACCTTTTCATTTGTAGTTGAGTGTGTTAGCTTTTGCAACAGAGAGTCAGTCTGCTTTGACTGTACTTCTGATTGCAAAACAAAACAAAGTAAAACAAACAAACAAAAACTGGACAAATGAGTTCTACACTTGTTGTCTTTGGAATTTACTGGGACAAGTTGCTTTATTGCTCTAGGTCTTGATTTTCCCATTATTCTGTGATCCACATAAAATGGCTGTCGATTCTTTTAATTGCTCAGACCAGGAGGTCCTTGGAAGCTGGAAGAGCCAGAAGAGAGAAAGGAATGCTTTGTTCCTTGGCCATTCATACCTCTGATTCTGGCAACACTGATATTTAACAGACGTTAAAGATACAAAACAAACAATCAAACTGGGTGCTAAGACTTGTAATTAGATTAGTTAGATTAGAAGAATGGCTGGATACTCCTGGAATATTCCTCAGAGGCCTCCCAGTTTAGGAGCCAGGGCTTTTCTCCCTCAGAATTTCCCATTGATGTTTCACTCTAGCACTTGTAGAGGGCGCTCTGCTCACCTCAGGGCAAGTAAGGCAGTCCTCAGGTATCTAAGCGGAGCTATCAAATGGAAAGGAGGACAAAGTACATCAATGATGAAATGTTATCATAGCTTCTGTCCACTTTGCGCTTATAATGCCAGAAAGCTTATGTTATTGTTCGAAATCCAACCCAGGTAGAATAAGTTGCCAAGTCATAAGGCAGGAGTGGAGAGGTGTGATTGACTTTGCAAGTCCCCCGCCTGTTCTCCTAGCACATGGCTTAGTTCAGTCCGTGTTCATCGCTGCTAGAACCTCAGAGGTGGCGGGTAACACACCTTACAGAGTCCCTATATAATTATATATATGTGTATGTGTGCATATACAGACACACACACACACCTTTGGTCTTTGAATATGCATGGTTAATGTCATTGTTAATCTTGCAACCGAAAAACAAAAACAAACACCACTGCTCTTGTGAACAGAACAGAGGAGAAGTGAATTCAGCGGGATCTCTTGGGCTATGATTGTTTATAGGAGCAGACTGCCAGCCCTCTCTTCCCCAGTGGCACTGAGTACACTTGAACTTGCCAGTCTCGTGGTTTTTAATCCAGCACAAGCTGTTGCAGCACCTAGGGCCCTGCCCAGTTTGAAAGGCGCTCATATTTCTAGTTCTATCTGGCATACTTTCCATTGCATTCATTTTCTTTCCTTAGGTCTTTTACGTCATCATTTAGTGAAAGCTCAGTGAAACTTTAAAGTCTCCAGAGAAGTGTACAGCTTTAGCCAAGCTTTCCATGGCAGTGGCAAGGTTATTGGTTCAAGCCTGTCGGTTTCCTCAGTATTGGAGGTGCATACATGTTATACACCTAAGGAACTAGAAATTAAAACGTGGTTCCAGCAGTCCTAGCTACAGCAAACACTGGACCCATTGCTGTGCGGTCAGTCCGGCTCACGGTAACGGGGTGTGTGGCAGTGGAATGGCTCCAGAAGGCCTTCCAAGCTCTGACTTTTCAGAAACAATTTGACAAGCCTTTCTTTTCAGGTGCTTCTGGGTGCCTTTGAGTTTGAACTGCCACCCTCCTATTAGGAGTCAAGGACATAATTCTTTTAGAACCACCCGGGGTACTCCTAGCCAGAGCTGTAATCATTAGCCCAGAAAGTGTAAGACAGCAGCTACCAACAAAGAAATGGAGAGTCTGGAGTCCAGGAAAATCCAGTTTCCTCTTCAAAGCAAGGACTGTGTTTTTTCTTTTGGAAACTGTGTGTACGAGTGAATAAAGCAAGTTACATCTTCTTGGAGAATATATACTACTGTCCACCTCTCCTCTTTGACATCTTGTGTGACTTTTGTCAGAAGTCTTAACTCTTCGCCTTCTTCAACAGCAAAGAAGTGCTCTTGAATCTCACACGTTTCTCACACTGAATGGTATGAGTTAATAACAGTAGATAACGATAATGTGTATGTAGAACTATTTGTGTTTACGGTGCTGTATGAAAGAGAAGAGGTAATGATAATTTTGTCATTTATTAAGGTAAAAGAAAAATTACATTTACTTTACACTCTCTCATCACCCACTTCATAATCCTCATCTTGGGAATATTAGAAGGCAGGAAAAACATCAGTTTACAAATCAAATCCTTCATCCATGGTCGTGTGTTCTCTTCACAAATCATTGACTATGTTCAATTAAAAAGAAAAGACGAAACTACTTGACAGTCTAGTCAAAATGAGTTTTCTCCCTTACAGGCTCGCCAAGGTAGACTGACATATACTTTTGTATTTACCTCAGTTTTATGTTTAATAAATCAAAGAACTGTAAAAGGCTAACATAGCTGGTGAAACAAATGAATGAAAATAGAGAACCAACCTTGAGTTGAGTAGGCAGTCGTTTTCAAGAAAATTGTGGCACAATCAAGAAGAAATAATAAATGAATTAAGAATTCAAAATCTTTAAAAACATATATCTCAGCATCATAGTATTATAGTTTTCAAGAAGTTCATGTCCACAATCAATGAATTGTTCAGGATTGTCAGCAGACATTAAGGTATGGTTTTCATGACTTAATCATAAGAAATCATAGGTTTGAAGGTTAAAATGGTTTTACTGGAAAAGTTGATTTCTGGAGACTGTGGTTTAGGTCTGTGAAAATAGCGAGGGTGGGGAAGGAGTTGTTAGAGTTAAGTAGGGTCTAGACTACAAAATGTAAACACGGAGTTCCTTTGAAAATAGAGATAAACAGAAGTGGCAGTAAGCACTCTAGAGTCCCTGAGTTTAAAATAAGAAACAAGCAAATGCAGGCAGGGCCACCTCTTTTCCACCTTAACCACAAAGAAAGAAAGAATCCTGAAGGAACGCGTGCATTTACGGCAAAGGCCACAGAGTCAGAGTGCCCGAGGTCAAAACCAGAGCGTTTGGTTTTGGTTTTTCCTTGTCGACTGTTAGAAGAGGCTAGGCAAAGATATTCATTTAAAAAATGAATTTAAAGAGATTAATATGTGGTATCTACTTGACACATAAAATGTCCATTTTGCAAATGAATGATAGCCCATCTTACAGATACTATTTTAACTCTATTTGTAATATGTGCCATTTCATATTCCAACCCCATTGCTCTCAAGTCCATTCTGATCCATTGTTACAGCTGTTCCAAGGCTATAAATCAGCGGTTCTCACCTTCCTGATGCCGCGACCCTTTCTTACAGTTCCTCATGAGGTGGGGACCCCCAACCATAACATTATTTTTGTTGCTACCTCATAGCTGTAATTTTGCTACTGTTATGAATTGTCATGTAAATATCTGATATGCAGGATTTATTTTCATTGTTACAAATTGAACATAATAAAAGCATAGTGATTCATCACAAAACAATATGTGATTATATTGTGAAAGATTTCTTTCTAATGACAAATAAATGAAATTTTGTCTTGAAGTGTGGTGTAGCATGGGTAACAGTCTGCACTCCAGGGACTCATATGTGGGTGTATCTGCATGTTGGCAAGCCTGCCTGGAGACGGATAGAGGAGCGGTGTCTCAGTCCCTAAGACCATGGGAAATATGTGTTTCCCGATGGTCTTAGGTGACCCCTGTGTAAAGGTCGTTCGACCCCCCCAAAGGGGTCACGACCCACAGGTTGAGAACCACTGCTATAAATCTTTTCAGGATCAGATAGCCTCTTCTTTCTTCTGCGGAGGGGATGGTGAGTTTGAATTACCCACCTTGTGGTTAACAGTCCACCCCTCACCTGGTAGCATTGCCAGGATCAGACAAACTTGATTTAAAGAGAATTAGCATTGCCCAACTGGTGGCCTAAGGAGTTGGTGGCACAGTGGTTACTTTTTGGGCTGCTGAACACAAGGTCTCCATGGGAGAAAGAGGAAGCTTCCTACTTCTGTAAAGATTTAGTCTTGGAAACCGACAGAGCCAGTTCTACCCTGTCTTCCAGGGTCATGATGCGTCGGAATCCACTCAATAGCGGTGAGTTTTTGAGTTCATACTTGACTCCGTGGTTTGAGCTTCTGATCACTGGGCAGGGCTAGCTTCACAAATGGGAGGCATCCGCCCTCTGACAGGACTTAGCTTGCACTATAAGGACCCTATACTTGAATAATTGCTTGATGTTCAACTTGATGTTCTTAATCGTTTAGAACAAGGGTCCACACATTTTCATTTTGTACTAGGCCATGAAGTAGCTGATCCTATCACTAGGCAACATGACTTTTTCTCTCTTAGGTCACATTTCTACCAGGGTGGTGGTGGTTATAAATAATCTCATGCATTTGTTGACGCAGAAGCCTTGACATTTTTTAAACATGTTATTAGCTGCCACGTCCACTTGGTCCCATGACCCCGGGAGACCTCACTCATGATGGAATAAAACGCTGCCAGGTCCTGCATGGGACCCTGGATGGGCTGTGTGAGCTACAGAGTTTTTGCTGATTGAGTTTTAATCACTCGGCCTCTCTTCGTAAAGTTCCTTAGAAAATCAGGCATTGTTAATCCATTGTTTTATAGTGCGTTCTATCCCTCCCTTTCTCCCCTCCCCCAAAGACTGGCAATTCTTTGAATGGTAGTACTCTCTCTCACAGCTGTTTTGTGTCATTCCCTCTGTGCCTGACGCTCTTCTGAGACTACAGAAAATAAACAATACATATTGCTAAATAACTATTCCTTCTAAAGGGTAAATATTGACTCTGTCTTATCTTGATTTTCTTCCACAGAAGAGCAAACCCTCCAGCTCGTCTGTCATCGTCATGCACTTGTACATTTGGAAGCAGACTAGTTAGTCTCCAATTAAGCAAAATCCCAGAACTAATCTGTTATAGGAAAATTCTTTGTCCACAAGTCAATGACTGAATCACTGTTGGCTTTGAAAGGTGCTCCGAGTTTACTGTACTTAAAATCCTTTTCATTTTTTTGCAGCCTAGTCATTGTTGGATAAGTGAGATGGTGAGACAGTTGACATTCAGCTTGACTGATCTTCTGAGCAAGTTTTCAAGTATTTCTGAAGGCTTGAGCAATTATTATATCATAGACAAACTTGTGAAGATAGTGGATGACCTGGTGCTGTGTGTGGATGAAAACTTATCTACAGTAAGCTTCTATTCATTGAGATCGTTCTTCCTGTTATTTTCTGAAACCTATGCTAAATGGTGGGGGCATGCAGGGGCATTTTTGCTTGTGCAATTTTGAACTTTAAAATATTTTAAAGTCAAGTACAAAAGTATTTTTAGTTATGCTGCTGGGCTGAAATGAGTATTATTTCTTTAATGTTTTCACTTAGCATAAAGACAAAATGTATTCACTGCAATATAAATAAAAAAGCTCCATCTTTTTCTTTATTTTATAAAATAACAAGGTCTTCAAAACTTTGCCATTAGGTTGAAAATGTTCATAGATGTTTAGTTGGAAAATTGCCTCTCGTGAGCACTGATATTTTACCCTTTTATTCATAGTGTTGGTGTGTTAGGTCTGGTTGTCTAGAGAAACAAATCCAGTGACACCCATATATGTATAAGAAAGACCTTTATATAAAGAAGTAATGATGTCTCAAGCAATCATCCCAGCCAAGGCAAACTCAATTCCATCAGTCCAATCGTAGTTCCAACTCCGTCACACAGAACTGCCCCAGAGAGTTTGTTAGGCTGTACCCTTCAGGGGAGCCAGTTGCCAGGTCTCCTGCAAAGTGACTGGTGAATTCACACTGGTTAACAGCCAAGTGCATAACCAATGGACTACCGGGGCTCCTCAGTCTCCCTATAGGTCACAAGGAAAGGCATTTTTGACACCTCCAAGGCATTTGAGAATTGGCTGTTACCACATTTGGGAAACAGGCATGACAATGATGTGAGCTCTAAGGTAAGGTGAACAGATTTTAACACTGGTAAAGCGGGACAAAAGCAGGACACCATTGATAAAACTCATATCCTGGCGAAATAGCCACATGGCAGCGAAAACTGTATACCCTAGCTTGTCGTGCATTCTTTCCAAAAATCGAGACTTTTTTAAAATGCCGCAGGACGCGGGAAGAATTGTTAAAAATCGGGACGTCTGGTCACCTTACTCTAAGTCTATAAAGACATTGTAACCCAGAGATGAAGAGTGAGTTTGGGGATTCAAATCCTAATCCTGTCATTTATCCACTTTCTAAACTTAATCCCTCGGTGCCTCATTGTATGTCTAGAATGAGGACCTCCTCACAGATTCCATCTAATGTTGACATTAGGTGACATGTGGTGAGTGCTTTAATATTGTGTCTTGAAATAAAAATGGCATTACTTATTATTCATCGTGCTGGGTCTCTGATAAAATAAAGTTCAGGAGACCTCTTTGGTAGAGCCCAAAGGGCTAGGATATAGGATACAGGACTTGTAGAAATTAAACCTAAAGTTGTAAACGTAAGTCTGGAATGTACCTTCTCTTCCTCCATCTATTCATTTCTGGCTAACACCTGTCTCATTTTTGTACTCCACTCTCTGAACTCTTAGAATACCAGGAACCTAATCCCTGTATTTTTCAATATCTATTGTTTTATTTAACGAACCCTGGTGATGGTGTACATGCGTCGGCTAAAAACCAGGTGGGCATTTCAAAGCCACCATCCTTTCCTCCTAAAAAATGAACCTTTCTCCTTCCTAAAGTTTGACAGCCTCAGAAACCCGGGCACGAGCCCTACTCTGCCCTACGGGGTCGTTGTAAGTCAGATTTGAGTCAATGGCAGTAGGTTATAGTATCACTTTCTAATTTCTGAAATCAGAATGTATCTTGCCATCAATGAAATCTTAGAATTATCATCTCATTGATATCATGTCACTTCAGAGAGTGTGCTGAGGGCCAAGCTTTTCTTAGACACCTTTTGTGTGGACTTGAACATTAAAGGACTAATAGATAAAATAATTTAATTAGAATCTACTACATAGAACTCCCAAGTTTTGTGTGTATTAACTCACTCACTCTCTAAAAAAAAACTCTCAGAAACACTACCTGTAATCTCGTAGGTTCCAGCCCGAACACCATAACTCGGAAGCATATGTTCCTAAATATTTGGCATAATCTTCCCAGCATTGCCATTTAATGAACACTAATCATCTTTTAATTCCCAACACAAATGTTATTTCTTTCATCTTGCCTGTTGTACCCAAGTTTTTGTGGCTTCCACTTCTTATAAAAAATACTTAGGTATTTAGAGTCTGTGTATTGTGTTGACCAAAGTTAAGTCTGTGGGACTACTTGAAATTATAAAGCTGGATCTTGTCTTTTTCTTTCTTTCTTTCTAGAATGTAATAAAAGGATCTAAGAACCCAGAACCCAGGCTATTTACTCCGGAAGAATTCTTTAGAATTTTTAATAGATCCATAGATGCCATCAAGGACTTTTCAAAGACTTCTGAAATTAGCGACTGTGCGCTTTCTTCAACATTAAGTCCTGCGAAAGGTAAGACCTATAAGCACCTCCACTTTAAATATAATTAGGAAGCTTGATTCTTAAATGTGTAATCTACCTCAGAATCAAATACTTGTGTAGCTGTGAAAACATGTGTGTGTGTTAATGTATAAAAGGCATGAGAAACTGCTGGTTGTGGATTTGCCGCTTTTTCAAGCCCAAACAGCAATTGTCATTTTTAAATGAAAGCTTTGTTTGTAAGTAAATAGTATATAAGATAGTACCTCATATTTTTCTCTTACTTGATATTTGCTGTTGAAAATATTTTTATTTAAAACAAGATTTTCCTTCACCCCAGTCTCCTTGGTGTTTCCTTCTCAAATCATTTTCCTAGAAGAGTCTTACCTCTGGGTTTTTTCTCTCACTGGGTCTCTGTAATGCAAAGCCTTAGTTTTCTTGTCTTCTCATTGTTTTTAAGTGATGAATCACTAGCAACTTGTCATTTTATTATATTCCTTACCATAGGTATGCAATCAAACGTTGCTCTAAAAGGTAACTGTGGTGAATCCCATTCATGAAATAAAAGAGTTTGAAATAAATAGCGTCTGAATCATCTAGATTTGAGAAGCATACCTGTAAAAGTACTCTGATATTGCACTTCACCTTTTGGGGACTCTGTGGGTCAAGCACCCTGCAGCACTGACACATTATTGCTTTCTATTCAGATTCCAGGGTCAGTGTCACAAAACCATTTATGTTACCCCCTGTTGCAGCCAGCTCTCTTAGGAATGACAGCAGTAGCAGTAATAGTAAGTACAAATATCTGATTTAATGCATGCATGGCTCCAGTTAGCATCCACCGGAGTATTGCATGGGCTTGCAAGGAAAATTATTAATATCGATCCTGTTCTGTTACTGTTCTTCCTGTTACAACCCTCCTGAGAATCAAATATAAGTTCCGTAAGACTGGTTTCCCTAGAGCTTGAGATCATGTTTAGAGAATTTGGTCAATAACTAAATTTGCTTAGATGATTTTAAATAAGACCTGGAGATCCATTTAGAAATAAGACTTAGCGGCTTTGCAGATTTCAGCTACATTTGGCATGACATTCGCCTTTTATCATGGAAAGTGCAAATGCTGGTTGAGTAGCACTCTTGTAAGAACACTTTCAGGTTTGTGTAGATACAAATATCAGTATTTCCTGGTGTGGATTTGGAAATTTTGATAGCCTTTTTTTACACTACAAAATCACATGTTGGAAAATGCCTCTTTTTCTGAAATTTCTGTCTTGTTTGGCCAACAGCCCATTTTCCTGGGAGACTATGTCTTCCTTTCAAATCCAGGAAAAGGCTACTATCAAAGTCACTGGATTTATAAAATTTATAGACCCTCAAGCTTCCTGGACACTATGGGAGAAAAGAAAGCCATCCTGTGTTTTTAGCTAAGAAAGTAATTTTTAAAGAATTCCTATTGGAGCATTCTCATTTTTTTCAGAAACCTGGAAGTTTTATTTATAAAAAAGGAGCAAGTAATTCAATACAATAAAAATAATTAAAGTAATTAAGCCACAAAATAACTCCAAACCCATTGCCCTCCAGTCAATTCTAATTTAATACAACCCTAGAGGACAGAGTGGAACTGCCCTCTTACGTCAGTCTCGAGAGGACTGGTCCACACACTTCCTTTCCAGTTAGCGGCGGAGCATGCCAACCACTGCACCACCAGAGCTCCTTATGGAACTCGCTGTCATTCTGAAAGTTAAAAATAAATAAATAAAAGTACAACTCAAAAACTCGACTTTTGGGGCTATCACTATTATTATTTTAGCCCCCGAAATCTAACTTGTACTGAGATGAAGCGACTTATCATTTTATTTAAGTTCTAACTTGATGGGCTCACATTGACAACAGCAACTGTAAAGACCAGAGGCAGAGGGGACAGTGTGATTCTGTGATTGGAGACGAGCTGCTGGGCAGAGGAGGGCAAGGGTGGCCACACCTTTACAGAGCCTGTGCCAACGGGTCCGTGTCCCTACATGGAGACATTCCTAGTTTTTTGAAAAAGTGAATAGGTGTACATTTCCCTGCAGATAGATTAATAGTGCACTGGAGATCTTATACCATATGGAATATTTCCGATGGAGAAGCTCCTCCTCCAGCACAGAGTCACATCGGATCACCGTTTCTGAAGCCATCGGGCCTGCATGTGCTCTCAGCTATTAAGAACTTTTCTACTTGCTGTAGGCTTTACTCAGGACCTCTAATATCTTTTCAACAAATTGACTTTTTGGGCATCTTAAAATCTCTGTTTACATTTAATTGATTCCTAATCTTTATTAATTCTTTTTTTCGACTTTGAATTTAGCTTGCTCGATTGTTCTAGCTTTTAAAAAAATCATTTTATTGGGGAGATCACACAACTCTTATCACAATCCATACATCCATCCATTGTGTCAAGCGCATTTGT